CTATGACCTCCTAGGTGACAAGTCCCAGATACACACTCTGAAAGCAACGCTGTTCCCTCTCCACTCCTTTGCTTTTCAAACCCGGAGGCGGGGGGAGCTGGAAAGCTGGGGGTGGGGGACATAGAGACACTTCAGTTTGTGATCAGAGAGAAAATGCAGGGCCACGTGAAAGGGACTGGGAGGCTGGGCTGGTGGCAGTGAAGGGGACAGCTGAGCCTACACCCTGTGCCAATTCGGCAATGAGGAAGAGCCTCGGAACCACACGGCGTTAGGACAGAACACACTGACAGTACCTTCCAGCCCTTTGCGGTTTTGAAGAGTTGGAAGTGCCCTGGGCCAGCTGTGCATCATTGGGCCAGCCTGTCTCTCCTCTGGGCCTCAGTTTCCTAGAAAAGGGGGGAATTGGAACTGTCAAGGATTTGGTAGAAACAGCAGGTTCAGGTGGGCTGGAGCCCGGCTCGCTCCATCTCCAGGGAACTACCGCTGCTTCTCTGGGTGACCAAGAGAGAGTGATAAAAACGGGGGTGTAGCAGGTCTCTGTGGGGTGTGCTCCCAGGGGGTCAGAGGAATAACAGGAAGGATTTTGACAAACCCAGTTCCAGTGGGCACTGCGTCGAGCTGACCTGTGAAACAGAGCACTTGTGCCTGGCCAAGTGGCCACTCCTGTGTTCAAATGTGGCTGAAGCATGGCCCACCCAAACAGCCCGGCTCGGCCCAGGCTCTGGCACCGGCCTGCAACCTCCCGCTCTTCTGAAGGAACTCAGCTTTTAAGCCCGTTGCACCCAGGGCATCCTCTGTGCCGGTTTGTTTCCTGTGATTGTAACACAATCAGGAAACAAAAGCGGGCTTCACTTAGGTCTGTGGTTTCTAACTGAATCCAGCTCTCAGATGCCTTTTCTTTGACCCACATAGTAGATAAAACAATTTGAACTAGATCTGACATTGAAAAATTGGGGGATTTCACACAAATGTTTGGCTTTTCTTGAAAAATCGGAACAGCGGCAGCAGGCCCCGATTCCCATGGCGACGAGCACCCTCCTCAGGTGGGAGGCAGAATCCGAGTGTGCCCTGGCCACCCTGTCCCCACCTGCATCCGCCCCTGTGTGCACTTAACTTACCTGCCAGGTTCCTTAAACACTGGTTGTCGACCTCTGACCCTGTGGGTCCCTGGGTCTCCAGGCCTCGCCACCCCAATTATATATGATCTCCAAGGAGGGTGCTTCTGTAGCAGGCGGGGAGAGGGAGACTTAGACTCCCAATGCCCACAGTGGAGGCTTCTCTCCCACGGGACTCCTTCTCCATGCCACAGGCACTGCTTTCTGCAAGCCCCCTTCTCAATCTGCACTAGCCAGCGGTCCTCTGTCCTTTCTGCCACAAGATACCCGCAATCTACGGTGGGAACACGTCGAATCAGAGAACTGTGCTCCTTGTTTGGAGCTGAGCCAAATGCAAAGAGAGTGCAGGGTGCGTGTGGCAGGGGGACCCTGCATCAGGGGACATCTCAGCGCGGTCAGCACAAGGAGCTCTTTCTCTGGCTCATCCAAGAGGCATTTGTCACTCTGTGCTCAGCCCTGGGGCTCCCACCTCATTCTGGTTTTCCCCAGCCCCCGCCACTTGGCACAGCCAACTGTCATGTGGGTAACGAGGTGGACTTCAAGGAGGAGGGGAGCTTTACCTTAGCACAGGTCCCAGAGAATACCACTTTGGTTCATTACACTAGGAACCGAGGAATTACAGGAATCACGCCCTCTCAGGGTTGAACTCCTTCATCCGACCCCACATGGTGCTCGGCTCTAACCTGCTACGGAAGCTGCGCACTGCCGTGGCTCCATGGTCAGGTGGAGCACTTCCTGGCCCACATCCCCCACCCTCGGGCTGGCCAACATCAACCAAGTGACAGATGGGTTCGGGGAAAGCATCAGAATTTATACACGCACAGACCAACCCCCCCCCACTTAGGATCTACCTTGTATCTGCACAATGCTAGGTCAATGTCTCCAACCTGGCCCTTCAGGGCTCCTCAGAGCGTTCCATCGGTGTCTGAGCATCTGTGTGCCAATTTCCTCTTTCATACACTGGGAACCACACACTGGCTTAGAAGACAACTGTGCTTGTCAGCCTGGGACTCAGTGACACCCCCCACCACCCTTCCCCACTTCCTGTGATGACCACATGCCAGAAACAAAGCTAAGCCCCACCCACACGTCGTCACCTCCAATCCTTACAAAGACCCTATGAAAGGGCTGTGTTTACTCTTACAGATGGGAAAATGAGCTCTGACAGGACTTAACTAACTTGCCAGAAGTCACACAGCTAAGCAGTAAATCAGCTTGGATTGAGACTTAGATAACATATGCCAGGTCCCTGGTCCCCAGGAGGCACCCAGTCTATGGCACCTATTGTCAGTCTCGTAAGATCCGGTACCATTTTCTACACCAACATCTCTCCAGGTTTCTATGTACCTCCTGGATACATCACCGAGACAGCAACAAATCAGTTCTTCAAACTTGTACAAAACATAACTCAACAGATCGAAGTGACCCCTTGTCACTGTTTCTGCAATGAGTTTAAGTTGTGGGGACAGGAACTACTCTAGAATAAGACTTTGGAGACAAAACCCAAAGTGCAGACACTGTTTGCTGATGAATCAAACACAACGATTGTAAATAGACGTTTTTGAGATAACTGGAGAAATCTGACTATAGACTGGGTACCAGTTGAATTATTGTTTTGGAAGCTGTGATAAGGTACTGTGGCTCCACAGGAAAACACATACTCAAGAATGGAGGGGTGACAAGACATGTCTTAGATGCGTCATTAAAAAATGCGTTAAAGAATGTGGCAAAATTTTGATAATTATTTTAGATGGGTGATGAGTAAAAGGTGTTGGTTATACCATTCTCTTCATTTTGTGTATGGATGAGAAATTTCGTAATTAAATAACAAAAGCTCAATTCAGAAACCTGGACGCCATACTCATCTTTCTCTGGTCCACTAACTCACCCTCAGTCTCCGATCAGCCTGCAAACTGGAGACCCCTCCTTACCCTGTTAGAGCCCACCCACCTTCTGCTCAAAACACAGCCAGTCTCCTCACAGCTGGTCCGGGGCTCCCTTGCTACTAGATTGGGTTTTCCCCAAGGGAGATAGATGCAACCCCCAGCTCTGCATTTGCAGACACATGCCCTGGATCTGGCGACCCCCGACCCTTCAATTGTAAAATGAACACACTAGACCCCACCTCACAGATCACTTATATGAGATAATCCAGCAAACTGCTCACACAGGGCCTGGCTTTTGCTAAGTGCCCAATAAATGTTAACTGTCACTCTCATTAAAATCTCAATCTGACCATGTCACTTCCCTGCTTAAAACCCTCAGTGGTTCCCCACAAAGTTCTAGGACAAGGTCAAACGCCTGACTTACTGCAAAAGGACACCTGCCCCTACCCTACCTCTTCCAGCCTCAACTCCCAGCGATCACCACCATTGCTTCCCCCTATTTGTGGTTTTCCATTTACCTTGCAGTTTGATGCCTCCACTTGGAGAGTTCATGTCCTCCACCTCCTGAGTCAGCATCCCTGAAGGGCCACTCTGGGCTCCAAGGCTGGGATAGTCCCCTCTGGGCCCTGGGCCCCGTACATATCTTCTCCACATCTCTGGGCACACAGGACTGTAATCGATTTACCGGCTGTCTCCTTTATCAGGCCATAAGCTCCCTAACTGGTCTGCAGTGGATTCGTTCACGGGGCCTACTTTCTGCAGTCAATACACAGGTTGCTTACTCAGTTAAGGTACTCTCCCCGTCAACTTGGTTCCCAGATCGTGTTTCAGAAGAGAATATAGTTTGACATCTGCCTCAGGGCCTTTGCCTGGTGTTTCTCAACACGTGCCCCAGAATCTCCTGGGTTCTTCCTAAAGATGCAGGTTCAAATTCAGAGGCCTGGGGCCCAGCCTGCAATTCTGCATTTCTGACAGGGAGTGCTGACGCTGCAGGCTCTAGCCCACTCTGAGAAGCGAGCCTCCCTATCCTTTGCCAGGCTCACACCCACTTACCCGTGGGTCCGAGCTCAAACGTCACCTTAGACAGAAGGGCTTATCGAACCCAATTTAGTGAGACCAACGCTGCTATTCCCTCCTAGAGCCCATCTCTTCCGCATGGCCTCATGTACGCTGTGTGTGACATCTCCCCAGTCAGACGGGATGCCCCGGGAGAACAGGAGCACTTTGTTCTCCTGGTGGTGCTGGATGAATGTGCTTTTCAGTAGAAGAAAAAGCCTTCAAGCCCCCCACCCACATTTGCTACTATGAGCTTCTGGCATAAAGTCCTTGGGCGGGGGGCATTCTTCTGATGGAAGAGGATGTCAAGGAGGGTGCAGATGACGTCCAGTCACACCGGAGACTCTGAACACTTATCAGACACCGCCACCCACTCACAATTCCCAGCCCTCAGCCAGACTCAACCTTAAAGCAGACCATTCGGCAAGGCCCACCCAGGCTGCTTTTTCCGGCCTGCTCGCTGCCCCTACTCGACCCTTGGAACAGACATACTAGTCACTGCTGAAAGCCGCCACCAGCTCAAGGAATTTCCACCTGACCTCTTTTATTTCAGTCAAAATTAGGAGCAGGTGACAGGGGAGGAGATGTCACATTTTGGTGAATGAACCCCAGGAATGGAGCTCAGTCACACACAAACCTCCGGAACCTCTGAGGAAGAGCTAGGCCAGCTTCCCACCCTGACCTATCCGTCCTCTCTGACCACCAGTGCTCAGGGCGGGAGCCTCTATCCCAGCCCCATCCTGACAGAATGTGCCACTGCTCACTTCCACACGACCTAACTGACACCCGGAAGCCCCTCGCCTGAGCTGTAATGACCCCCACTCCCCGGATGTTCCAGCAAGGCCACTCGCATTGTGCAGGAAGGAGAGCCCTCCCCACCCCGCCCAGGGTCATCTTCAACTCAGCCAAGGCTCCCGGATGTTCTTTAACACAGCTATGGAGATTAATTTTCAATGTTTCTTTTATTCCGTTGTGACAGCGTACCCTACCTTTTCTATCTCCCCAAAACATCCACCTGTGCCCTAGGTCATTCCTCCAGCTGCGTTGCTGCTGAAGAGGCGGGGCTGCTGGGCCCACAGCTGGGCGGCCTCTCTCTCTGAGGCCAGACTGCAGAACCTGGCTCGAGGCCTGGGGCTCTGGGAAAGAATCCTCACCCCACAGTGCTTGGTTTGAAAGGAGAAGGCACGGCGATGCCCAGTCCTACAGAGATGCTGCTTCTCCCCGGACTGGGCGGCAGCTCAGGTCGGCTGAAATGTCATCCTTGGCAGGGTGCTTGGCGATGGTTCTCACTTCATGTTGTGATGGAAACAAACAAAAACTAAAGCACACCAATAGTCAAATCTTCTTCACTAATAATCTCTCAGACAACAACAAAATAAAGGGCAAAATTCAACTTGATTTGGCAAAGATTTTTTGAAATTTTGAATTAAAAAAAGAAAAAAACATTCACATAGAACAGATCCAACTTATCTGCTTTGAAGAAATATATTAAAGTGGAAAGTTAAAAAAAATCAAACCCCAAATGATGATAAAAATAGATGTATCCTCTGTAAAAATCTGTACTAACCTATTGAGTCATTCATATCTATTCAGTATTCAGAGCATGAGGTGAAACACCAGAGTATAAAAAATTAAAAAAACAAACAAAAACTTGAGACACTGCCCTCGAGTTGACCCATGGGCCGGTGGCTCCCTCGGGCTCTGGATGCTGGCAACTCGTGCGTCTGGTCCCTACAGCCCTCTGCAGACCTCAGAGCTTCAAAGTTCCTCCCTGGTCCTGCTTGGTTTTGTGGCATGTTCTTCTATAAACTTGCTCAAATGCTCCAGATCTCTGTTTCCATCCTCAAATTTAATTGGGTTCTTTTTGTCCCCACTGGGGGCAAAGTAGATGGTGGGGAACCCCTCAACTTTGTAGCGGTCACTGGTGACATCGTTGGCGGTGGCATCCATCTTGGCAATGACCAAATCCTTGCGGCTCTTGTACTTCTTGCCCAGGGCAGTGTACACGGGCTCCAGCTGCTTGCAGTGCCCACACCAAGGTGCGTAGAACTCGATGAGGACGTCCTTCTTGGGGTCCATCACAATGGAGTCGAAGGTCTTCCCCACGACGACTTTGACTGGCCCCTTGTTGTTCTTGGGCACCGGCTGGGATTTGATGACTGGCTTCAGTTTTCCTGCCGAGGAAAGCGAGCAGGGGAGGGACGTGAGTGATGAAAAGGCCCCGGACCCTGGTGGCTCTGCCTCATGTGTGGGAGAGTGGGGTGCGTCACACGCTGGGGGGCCAGCCCACTCCTTAGTTCCCTGGTTTCCTCAAATCTTCTATGTTCCCAGTCCCTGCAAAGGCCGGAGAGGGTGCAGCTGGTCCAGCCCAGGCCTTTTGGGCCACTGTCCTGTTCAGTGAGGCTGTCACAAGACTAATGCTGCCCGGTACAGAGGGGTTTCAGGGAGAGCCAGTACCTGGGCCTGGGAAGCCATGTGGGGAGCGGCACCGAGGAGACTGGCAGACCCACCCGCACTCAACCAGATCAATAAAAACGTGGCATGTAATGCCTCAAAGCGAGTTTTCCACATGCACACCACTCACTTCTAAAGCCAAAGCCTGTTTTAAGTATCGTTAAAATAGTTTTTTGGAATTTTCAAGACATAGCTGCCTTTTGTTACAAAAAGAGAAAAAAAGCAAAAAATGGGGGACTTTCCATCTGTATCCTCTGAGGTCCCCGAGAAAACCCAGGATCAGGCTTGGAACAAACAACAAGAATGATGAGTGACATGGCTGAGGCTCCAGGTGCCCCCACAGCTCACCAGGCTCATGCAGAGGAAGCAGCACAAGGCGTAAGGGGTGGCCTGGCCACACGCACACACCTTTTTTGAAAGCTGTGACGAACTCGCGGAGGGTATCGGAGTCAAACTCCTCGGGCTCCATGGCAAACTTCCGCCCACCCTCATCCAGGATGGCAGCGTTGACATCCTCCCCGCTCTCGCTGAGCCCCAGGTCCTTCACCTCCGTGGCAAAGTCGTCCTCGTCAGCCACGGCAAAGGTGTACTCAGGAAATTCCTTGGCCACCTCCAGCACTTTGCTCCGCCAAAACTGAGTGGCTGAAATGAGACAAAGGGCTGTGAGCTGACCCTCACAGGTAGAGCAAGGTTGTCACTGAGATTCTCTGACAAGGCTCAGGCTTCAATCGGAAAGGAGAGTATTTCTGAAAAAGCCACTTCTGTGGGCAGGGGACCCTGGTCACAAGTTCCATGAGCCTGACAGACCTATGCCAGCATTATGAGCCCTGCTGGTCTAGACCTGGCCCTGTGGCCTCATCTCTAACAGGCACTGACCCCGTTCTAAGCTCCCTCCTGCCAAAAATGGAAAGAAAGAGTTGTTATACAACACAGAAGAAAAATGACCTTGAAGCCATAAATAAAACATGCACCCGGCCGCCAACCCACAAAGGCCTGGGGCTGTTTTCCCAGTCCCACCGCAGTGACGCTGGGGTCCCTCACCAGCTCTGTAGTCAAAGCTGAAGTCCACGCTATAGTAGACGACCACCAGAGGGCGTCGCGTGTACCGCTTGGCGTCATTGGAGGGCTTGCGGTGACCCACCAGGGGCAAGGTGTGCTTCAGCACGTAGTCCTTGATGGCTGAGCCCTCTGTGGAGCTCTGCGAAGAGTGGGAACAGGTGAGGAGTGGCCTGACAAAAACGGGGCTTATCTAACACACCCACCTTTCGCTGTCACTGCTAATGAGTAATGATGGGACTTGGCATGGGGGGAGGAGTCGTGTAAAGGTGAGATACTCTGGGCTCACGTCCATTCAAGCACATCCTAGTAATCTCTGCTGTCTCTGGGGTCCCCTTTCTTCCAGTGAACTTTAAGTGAGCTTTGCAGGCCACCGCCGGCACCCTGGGCCCTTTCCTATGGCCTGGGATCACTATGATCTCAATTAGGAACTGCGGGAGGAAGGCCTGGCTGCCAGAGGCGGCTGTTAACACAGGCTGAACTGGGCGAAGGGATCCTTCTATCTGCCCCACCTGATCCTCAAACAGTCCTCTCAGGACATTTCACAGACGACAGGAACAGCACGGACGACAGGCAGGCCCAAGTGCACAAAGCCTTGGGCTTTGCATTCTGGACAAAGCACACCTGTGATTACCAGCGACACCGAGCACAGTGAGGTGTGGGGCAAGGGCGCGGAGCCAGCAAGAAGCAGCCCCTCCAGAGACCGTCCCCCAAGATGGAGCCGTGGGAGGGGAACGCAGCTCTGATATTTGCACAGCACCTGTGACTGGCTGGGCACAGCAACAGTCGCTTGGGGACACTGAGCTCAGGCTGTCAGAGAGGGTGGGTTAACTGCCCTGAGGGATGTGCAGAGTGCCCTGGACATAGGGGCTCCCTAGGGCTCACCCTAAGTTAAGGACTTCAGCCAGGCCCTCCAGACACCAGCCTCATGACCACCCTGAGGGCAGGCACTGCCATCTCACTTCACAGATGATGACACTGAGGCACACTGAGGTTAAGCTGCTTGCTCAAGGTCGAAGAGCTTTCCCCAGAGCCTGAGTCCCCGTGCAGCAGGATCCTCATGCCAACCGGACGCCCAGGGCTGGCACTTTGGAGAGGCCACCAAGGCCCTGAGCGCCCCCACCCACCTGGATGTCCATCATGTTGCTGCTGGGCTCGTATTTGGACTGGAATTTCTCTGGCTGCATTACAACCAACTTCCCTGGGGAGACTTTCAAGAACTTTGCTATTTCAGTGCTGAAAGTGTGGTGAAATTTATAATCTTCTCTCAGGTTGTTAGCTGAAAAATTAACAGAATAAATATACAATGTATTAAATTGCTTAAATGATCTAGATTTAATACATTATCCACATCTGCCAAAGCAAATGCATGGAAAATAACATAATAACCAACATGAGTTCTATGTGAACAACATCTCAAGCTTAAACCCTAGAAGGGAATTTGAATTCTAAAACAGTATATATATCTTAAAATCTGTATCTTGGTATTTATAAAATAAATTTAACAAACTGAATGTTCACAGAAAAACTTAGAGCTAATCTGCCTGCAGTCAACTGCCGTCTCTGATGCTGAGAAGGACATCAGTTCCAGAGAGACAGTGTATCATGAGGTGAGAGTGAGCACTGCACACTCCTGTACGCACATGGTGAGTTTTCACAACCAGCACCCTTCCCGGAGGGGTTTAACTTCTCCTCGAGTTGGTGGGTGGCCTGTTTGTGGGCTGGAGCCCTAAATGCTATTCTTTTGCTACAAATACTTTAAATTTTGGGAGACTCCCAAGATAAAACCCCACTGTCTGAGGATATTCAAGAACAGGGCTAGTGAACTCTTCCAGAATGGATAAGACAGTATAAACACCTTTGGCTTTGTAGGCTACACTGTCATAACCACTCAACTCTCCAAGTACGAAAACAGCAAAACAATGTGTAAACGAGTGTGTGGCCGTTCCAACAAAATGTACAAAACCAGAAGAGGCTGGATTGGGCCTGTGGGTCAGTTTTTCCTGTCCTCGATTCTGGGGTGAACGCACCTCAGTCCTTCTACTGTCCTGAGGCACCCGGGCCCATCCTGAGCTGAGTCTGTGATTCAAATCTGGGTGAGGCCTCAGTGGTGTCACCCACTCCTGGAGGAGTATGACTTTTGGAATCAGAAAGACTTAGAGTTAAATCGTAATTTTGTGACCTGATGATTGTGGGACTTTAGGCCTGCTATTCACCTCCCTAAGACTCAGTCCCTCCTGTGTGGAAAGAGGACCACCCACCTCATAGATGGTGGTGAGGATTATGAGAGGCAACCCAACAGGCAGCTCTCAGAGGTGCCCCTCCCACCCTGTCCTAGGCCTCCAGGTGCCCCAGGTGATCTGCCCCACCTGATCCTCAAACAGTCCTCCAGAGCCAGTTTATCAGTTGGCTCTGGGTGGACAAACAGAAATGCCTCAAAGACTTTGGTATCCACCCTGCATGCCCATAGACCCACCCCTCTCTCCCCAGCCAGCCTCTCTGCAGACCGCCCTGCATGCTGGGCCGTCGCTGGGTCCTTCCGCACAGGCCTAGTGATTCTCGTGCCTGCCTGCAGCCTAACCCAGCCGAGCCACACGGAAGTCGTGATCATTTCACTTCTCAGATTAGCAAGACTAGAACTCACAAGTGCTCAGTATTACCAGGCACTTTGCTAGGCGCTTTGCCTACATTATCTCGATTAATGCAATCTTTGAAGTGGAAAAGATCACCATGTTGGATGTGAGAACACCAGCTGATCAATCGCTGCCTGTGGTCACAGCATTGATAACTGGCAGAGCTCTGATTCAGAAAGTCTTGCTTTCTGGTGAAGGCCCTTCCACTTGCAGAAGGGCTGGCTCAGGGACGGGGCTCCAGAAAGGTGAGAGAGACAATGAACTTGGATGAACCTGACTGTGCTACTTCCCAACTCTCCACGTGTAATTAAGGCAACAGGGAACTAACCTTCAACCCTGTCCCCAGAAAGGAAAGCTTATTCTCACAGACGCTATGGTAATCAAGCCATCCCCTAAAAACGATGCCCAGGAGTTTTATACAAAAGCGGCAGACTCCCCAGGAGGGCATTCTGTCCAACCCGGAGGGCCACTACTCACCAGCATCCTGGTACAGCTGATAGGCTGGGTCGCTCTCTGCCTTGAAGACCCCAATAACGATGACATCGTCTCCATCCTTCAGGAACTCCTGGACCTGCTTCAGGGCCAGAATCTCCTTGGAGGGCGGCCCGGACTGCTCGATCATGTAGTCCACAATCCCTGGGAGCAGAACACGGGCCTGAGGAGGGGCCAGGGCTCCAGGGAGTGCTGCCTGCCACCCACACCCACTAGGGACCTTCCCCGCCCTGCGGGGTAGGAGTGGGAAGCAGCCATACCATATTTCTCTCTCGGGCCATTGTAATCAAAAGGCTTTCCCTTGCGGAAGATCTTCAGGGTGGGGTAGCCAGAGACATCGAACCTCTTGGCCAGCTCTGTTTCCGCAGTGGCGTCGACCTTCGCCAGGGGGATTGGGGGTGAGCGCTTGCTCAACTCCTTAGCGGCCTTCTCGTACTCGGGGGCCAGTTTCTTGCAGTGTCCACACCTGTCAGAGGAAGCCAGTTCTCAGGGGCCTGTTCTAGCGTGGAGATGGCCTCCCAGCTAAGCGAGGTACAGAAACCCAATCTGTGTTCCCAGGCAGCTCAGATCCAGCCAAGTTCCAATCGTCTCCTGGGTGAGGGCGCTGAGCCAGGCCCCCCAGGACAGGCCAGCATGACATCACTTCCTCCCTTGGCATTCGCACACCAGGGATACAAGGATGTACACACGCACACACACAGAGGCACAGACAGGAGTGAAACTGTGACAGGAGTAAGATGTGGGGAAGGCCAAGACAGACGACATCCTAGGTAGATTTCCTTGGTTAGAGAGTTGTGTCACGAAGGGACCCAAGTCAGGGATGACTTCATACAGAACATGACAGATGAGGTACAACTTGAGGGACAGGTAGGAAATGGACAGGAGCCTGTGAGAAGTGGGGTGAGGGGAGGAGACACAAAGCAAGAAAGCTGTGGGAACCCCAAGGCTCTGGCATGAGTGTGAAGTAAGGCTGAGGATCATCTTCCAAGATTCACTGCGGAACAAAGAGCCAGAGCACAGATGATGACAGATAAAAGCATGGCTCGAACAGCTCAGGCGGGAGACAGCAAGGCTGGCAAGACAATCTGGGATAGGCCACCGGCTGCCACTCCTTCACCTACTTTTGGGGCAGTTCTGCTCTCCTCACTGGGGTCCCTCACCGGCTGGGGAAACTCCCACAAACAGCACTTCCCTGCCTCCCACAGGAGGTAAAAGATGTCCCCTCACACTACCTAGAGAGCAACGGTCAAAGTGCTTCCATACACACTTTCTTGGGGACACTCCCTTGTCCCTGAAGCAGACAGGGCAAGTATGCGGTGACAAACCTGGGACTCGACAGGCACAGGCCGGATGCTCAGCCCTGTCCTCCAGCCTTGAGGGGCCCGGGTCACTCGGCAGCCCTCTATGTGAGCCATGTGGGCTCCCTCTCCTCCATGCCCAGGCCTATGTGTAGCCGCATCCTATCCCCTAGGAAAAGACAAAAATCCATCCCTCTCCAGAACACTCAGCAGCTCCATTTTGCCCTTTATGCAAGGTGGGGACTTTGCATCCACCTTGCTCTTTGGTTATCTCTGCCTCACGCTCAGGGGTGTGTCTCTGTCATCCCTGCCCAGAGCCAGCAGGGTACTGAATACAGGATGGGCCTAATCAATATTTGAATATGAGATCAAGACCATCTTACCATGGGGCATAAAACTCCACCAGAATGATGTCTGCATCATTTACAACTTCATCGAAGTTATCTTTGGTCAGCACAAGTGTGACTTCTGGTGGAGGCGTCCAGTTGGGCTGGGAGATCTCTCTGACCTTGGCAATAATTTCTGAAAGAAACCAAACAAGACTGAGCACAAGCAGACTGTGTGGCAGGCGCTTTACCTCGTTCCAGAGGCAGGTGGGGAGGGGAGAACAGAGGAAGCGGTAGGGGCCACAGGAGAAAGGAAACACCTAATTTCCTGAAATCCAATCACACCTCTAGCCAGTGCCGCTCTGCAATTCTGAAGCCACAGTTAAGTGTCAGAAGGTCCACTGCCTTGCACACCACCCGTGGACTTCTCGAACAGCCCAAGACCATCCTGACCAATGAGAGCTCGTTCTTACCAGACGACGGTACTAACTGCAAGCGAACCCTGAGAGGTCCTCTCCCAATGCTGTGACTGCATACGCTCATCATCTCCTTAACATGTGAAAACATGTATGTACTTAGTCATGCACCTCTAGCACTGGCGTATTACAGCATCGAAGAACATATGCAAAAACCAAAAAAATGAAGAGAGGAACAGCAGCTCCCACGCTGCTCAGGCTGCTCCGGCATCATGTGTTATAAAAAGGCCATTTGTGGCCTCGGTCCCCAGAGATGGATCCAATGACGGAGTGGGACACAGAATATATTCTCACAAAGCATTTCCAAATGATCTTAGGAGCAGTGGTGGCAAACTTTTAACAATTTCTTTTCCGTTTGGCTGTGGAAGCCACCAAGGAGGCAGGTCTAAGTGCCACTCCTGCACAGCACGAGCTAAAACATGCATGAGCTGCACCTCCGCACTGCGCCCACAGCGTGGACTGCCTGACCCGTCCACGCCCGAAGTGGGTTGACATGGAGGAGGCCCATTTACTAAAATGCACGCGCAGGGCCGGCAGCCCAAGGAGCCCACTTGGCAAACACGGCTCTCAAGGTTCCAACCTGGGCCGCATCCTGAGTGGTCAAGTACCGAGCACAGGCCTCCAAACGTGCAAACCTACTTATTTTTCAACAGTAAAGTGTCCTACTGTCAGCTTGTTTTTAGATTAAGGTCCTTACTCACTGATATGACTGAGACATAAAAACACGAAGGTACAGATGGTGTTTAAGATATGCTAACAACTGTGCAAAAAGCACACACACAGACACACTTGCTTTGACATGTACAAAGGACAAGCAGGAGAGCTGGAAAACCAGGGTCAGGGCGGAAAGACTATCTGAATTCTGAACCACGAAAACATGTTACCAGTCAACAGACAGACAAATGCAATGTGAACGTAAGTATTAACAGACATGATCACATTCCCTCTGGCATCCCACAATGGGTTCCATGCTTGGAGTATCATGGGACAGACTCGCACCACTCAAAGGGAACTGAGATCAAGACCTCATGTCCTCAATGGGGAATCCAGGCCCAGCAAGGGGAAGGCAGCCGTACAGGACACAAGGCTATGACATGGCTATAAAGACCCAAACCCCATTTAATGCCCTGTCCGCTATGCCACACCAGAAATGGAAAATGGAGCATAATTTTTTTTTAGAAGTGACTAAGAGATATGCTCTTCCTAAAGAATAAAAGCTTATCTGTTCATTTGTGTGATAAAATTTATTTAGTGCCTAATGTGTGCAGGCAGGGATCCACAGGCCTGGTGTAGGAGAACCACCTGGCTTCCCACACCAGGTTCTCAGTGTGGAGCTCTGGGTCCACAGCCCTGGCACACTCTGGGCGCTTGTAAGAAACACAAATTAATAGTCTGACCTGAAACTCCCTGAATGAGAGCTCTGGGGACAGGGCTCTGCGGTCTGTCCCACGGAGCCTGAGCCCAAGCCCCTCCCCCACCGCTTGGGGATGGTTCTGGTGCAAGCTGAAGGTTAAGAGCCACAGCTCTAGACCACCACCAAGAACCTCAGCCTCTCGTGTCATTTCTTAACCTGTCTGCTCCAGACCTTGTTTCATGGTCTGAAATGGGAAGATAGTCCTCCCACCCAGACAAATTTATTTTGATCTCAGTTACCTCGAACATTCCAGCAAACAGCACTCCCAGAAGCTGGTGCTCCCGGGGGTCACTCCCAGTCCTCAACCTGTCTTTTCTATGATCCAAATTTCTCCTTCCCAGGAGAGAGAGTCCTGGCACCAGCTTCCTTCATAGCTCAGGTCCCGCTCACCTTCCTGGGTCCTGGAGCCCTCGTAGTCGACAGCCTGCCCCTTCTTAAGGATCTTGATGGTGGGATAGCCGCTCACATCAAACCTGCTGGCCAGCGCCGACTCCGAGGTGGCGTCTATTTTAGCGACAGGAATGGGAGGGTCGTTCTCCTTCAAGGTACTGGCTATTTTTTCATATTCTGGAGCAAACTGCTTACAATGTCCACACCTACGAATTAAGATTTAGGGGAGGACTAGGTTAACTGTACCGGTGGAGGCTTAAATCTAGCAATGAACACAAAAATGGGCAGTGGGACTGGAGTTAAGAAGAAAGACACAAATCCAAGTTTGAATTCCAGCTCGGTCTTGGGCACACACTTTCGACATCTCTGAACTCCATATTTTCATCTATAAGTTTGGTCCAAGGACCCCTTTCAAGGGGTCTGTGAGGTGAAATACTTTACATTTCTTATCTTTTTCACTCACTCTCCCAGAAGCAGAGTTTTCCAGAGGCTACAATGACAATGACGTCAGTGTTCCCATGTTAACACGTAATAGGTTATTATTATTTAAAAATGAATATTTTTAAATTTCTCAGTTTTAATTTCTAATATGGTAAACAATGATAAACATGACCTACATAAAAGCTACTTGGGGTCCTCAAATTTTAAGTGTTAAGGGGTCCTAAGACTAAAAAGTTTGAGAACTGTTGATCTATAAAATAGAACCTCACAGACCTGTTCAAAGGACTATGTAAACACTTTATATAAAACACCTCGTACTATGCTTGAACATCAGGCACTGGACACATAAGTATATCTTCACTATTCTGCCTTCGAAGTGAACCAAAGAAGGCAGGAGAAAGATGAAAAGAGTGAGAAAAAAAAAGAAGAGAGGTGGGGTTGCTGGGGAGGAACACAAGACCTGCGCCATACTGCAGCCTGGGGGTGAGAGACAGGAAGTGTGGCGCCTGGCTCTGCGTTCCCCAGGGGCTGTGTGCAAGCCTGACTACACTCAGGGGGGTGGTCTTGAGACGGGTCAAGCGTGTGTCACCAATGCAAGTTTCCATAACATCACAGCTTGTTTAATGACACCCCTACCCAGCTGTAACTATCCGAGGACATTTCATAGTTTAAACCACTGGAGACTGTGTTCTGTGAGGCCGGCTCAGTGGGGGCTCAATGCAAATTGGCTGAGCTCCTGGTGACCCTGAACCCAGGGGCTGAGTTCTTGCACCCAGACACTCCCACTCTGCAGGGTCTGGATGGCTTTGTGAGGGGTCAAGTGTGCAAGCACAGAGGAACCGCTTGTCCGTTCTGGCAGAACTAGAACGTGGGTCCTTACCATGGAGCATAAAACTCCAGCAGCACTGTGTCCTTGTCAGCCACAAAGTTATCAAAGTTTGCATCACTTAGGACTAAGACACCATTTTCCTCCTTAACCTCCAAGTCGTCCTCCTCGTCTTCTTCCTCGTCTTCCTCTTCAACGGCATCTTCTTTATTAGAATCTGACCGGAAAATACCCAGACTGGTTAGGAAACTGCTGACTCTCCTCCTTAAAAATTTTCTTAGAACCCCAAACCCTCAAAACGTGTCAAGTCCTGAGTAGTCCCTGGGGGCCACCACCAGAAGGAGTGGTGACATCAGGCCTTCCCACCCCAGAAACTCTGCTTTAAGTCTGCATATTGGGTGGCCACTTAAGATTTGGGCAGCCACTTAAGATTTCATTTAAAAGGGAGATCATGATTAAAAGATGTCTGAAAACCACAGGTCTAGAATTTAAAAGTCTAAATGTCCCTGCAAGACCCCCTCCACCCCCCACCCAGAGATAGCCCTGTGCTGCTCTGCACAACTTGAGCCTGAGCACAGAGAACCCCAACATCGGCCCCTCTGCTTACTCTGCACTGAGACCTGACCCACTATCCCTCAGCATCTCCAGCCTCTGCAGCCTTTCCAGGCCTTTGCACCGTGCAAGGCTCCTTTACACACATCCCATATTTTGCATTTCAGGAATATCTCATTTTATGGTTCCCTCTGTGCTCCAGGGCAGTCAACTTTTGAGGACATGCTCCTGCTTAGAAGCAAACTTCTCTTCCCAGAACAAAGAATCTGAGTATATGAAGGTCCAGGTGATTTTTTTTTTTTGGCCAAACTACAGATACAAGACCACAGTTCTAATTAATCAGGTTATCCAGCTATGGTCATATCAGCAAGTGCACTTGAAGTAAGTGCAGCAAGCATGAGAATTTCATTAACTCCGAAGCCAGAATGTTTCAAGGGGCCAATTATCGGTGTTTGGAGATGCTTCCCAAGAGATAAAGCAAGACTGATAATTACCGTGTTCGGGGCTGTGGGTGAGGTCAGGGCATGAAAACCTGCCCTTGGGATCCTGGAACCCCTGGGACTTACGCAACCTCAGCCCTGCCCCCAACTCCCCTCCGCCCCCACTCCAGGGCTGGCTCTGCTGTTGCTCAGACAAACTGGGTGACTGGTCTGGATGGGGCAGGCAGCTTTGTTATCATTAAAATCCACCAATCTGCAAACTAATTACAAAACGCAAACCAAAACGCCACCCCCTCCCACCCCATCCCACTGGAGCCACACTTTCTGCCACCATGTCCCTTTTTAACACCCCACTGCTTTATCCTGACTTCCACTCCTCTCTTCAACTTAGGGTGTCAGTTCCTCCTTTGGGGAACTAAAACCCCCAAAGAAAACCCACCAATTTGAGACGTACGAACCAAGCAGATTCCCATTTTTCTTGGGACAAGTTCTCTCCCCTGCAGCCAGTTCTCCTCCCCACCCTCCTCCTGCACGCTGGGCACCAGCTCTCCAACATTTCCATGCCCCCCTTCCCCCTCACCTCCCTCCTCCACAGAGGGAACACTGTGGGGGTGGACAGGCCTGCAGAGGCCTCGGGCTCCCAGCACAGTCATCAGGCCACACTAAGAACAAGGCTCCTTGGATGCGAAAGGGGCCAGGACGGAGGGGAAGACAAGCTCACTTTTAAGTCCTACCCAAATGACCTGCAGGAGGGCTGCAAACCTGTGGGCTTGAAGTGGGGTTCTCTGCTCCAGCTCGGGGCCTAGGAGGCACTACAAGCCCTGCCCCACACCTGGGAGCTTGGATGGGCTGGGCAGCCTGCTGCAAGCAGTCAGGCCAGGCTTGTGGGCCATGTATATCCACTCTTACTGCCTGGCTGCTCTGTCCAGCCAAATTTACTTGCAGGGGAAAAAAAAAAAAAAAGTTTGCAGAATCATTTACCTGCGGATGGAAACTGGAAGAAGTCTGGAAAGAAAGCACTGGGGAACCTAATCTGCTCTTCAAGCTAGGAAACAGCTGGGGAGGAGGGACTCAGTCACTTGCTCAATGCACGGGGCCAGGTGAATTAAAAAAAAAAGAAAAGAGGCTTCCTTACCTATCTATGCTCAAGTAGTCCGTGAGCACTACTAGTGATGGGGCTCTCACAATTAAATGGGTATCCATGACTTATCATGAGACAGAGTTCCTAAGAGTGAACTCATTTCTTGATACATATTTAAAATATACTTTCCATTCCTCCCCAACCTGCAGACAACCAAAGGATTGATTCATCTGCAATTCGAGAAGGTGCTGGCTCTAATTCCTACCTACTAGAAGCCAACACTTTCTTGCAAAGAAAACACCCTGCATTTTAGTGGGGAGACTACATTTCATTGGGCTTCACTTTTGAAGTTAAATGTTCTAGGATAGAAATTCCTCCAAAGCCTTCCAGCACCTTCTGGAAGGGTGCTATCCTCAGCATGAGGCCATGCAGCCTCTTAAGTCATCTCCACATTGCTAAGCCCACATAGTAAAGCCACTCCTGAAATGGGAGGACCCTCCTCTAACCAGGTCACTGCAGTCTCCGTGCACGCCCACCAGTACATCTGATGACAACACTGGACCCTGCCCAGCCTGGACACTGGCAGCTCCTAGGAGGATGTCCTCATCTACTTGCTCAGCTGGTCACTCTTCCAATTCTCACTAAAGAAGTACCTATAATAGTTAGATAAACTCCACTATGAGGTCAAGGTTGAATAATTAAACATGGAAAAACAGAAATTTGTTTTCTGTATAACACCATTATAGCTGATATTTACTTCATGCCAGGAACTGTACTGAGCTCTTAAACACATTCTCTCACCCCGTGAAACACATTACATACACTTTACAGATAAAGGAACTGACACGCAGAGAGCCTCAGTCACCTGCCCAAGGATCACAAAGCTACTCAGTGGCAGGTCCTGATCATTCACCTGCTGTACTATACTACTACATCAGATTTTCTTTTCAATATGCCCAAAGTTTTATGTGGAATTGTTTGACAATTACTTCTTAGGAATGAAAAGACAGGGGCAGCTGAACAGTGCCTTAGAACTGCACCCAGGTGAATTTCCGCTTGCTTTAAAATCTAAACCAATCCCAAATAAAAGCAGACAACAACTAGTATCAAAATATTTTCCTTCGCTGTGTTAGCTGGAAAGATGTGAACAGTACAAGTGACTTCTAATCTGAGGCATGGCAAGCCCTGCAACCCGAAGCTTAAGTCATTGCAGCTCAAGCTCTATTTACTAGCCATATTGGAGGGATGGGGGGTGTTGGGGACCCCGACACCACTGTGCTATTTGAATCTAAAATAAAACTAAATGCTCTGCAGACTTGAAACTTCTGGGGTGGAAGGAAGTGCAGCCCCAAAATAAATGCACAGGACAAGTATTCTGTGACAGGCACTGAAAGTGAAGGGCCAGGGATGCCCACAGGGATGGGAGTCAAGGTAAGGGCTGGAGGACCCACCCCACCCCAGAGGACACCCTGGGAGATCTGCCTAGGCCATGACAATTCCAGAGGTTCCTGGGCTCATCCCTGAGGCGACAGCTTCCCAGGAGCCTTCACTGCATTAATGACCTGTGACCCAAATGATAAATATACTAGTTGTTAGTAGCCCTTGGTGTCCAAGCGATTTTGCTTTTTAGCTACATTCCAAAAAGTAGCCTCTATCCCCACTGTCCTTGCATTTTGAAGTGCCTACCGAAGTTTATTTTGCCTGTGAACCAATGAAGTTGTTTAAAATGAAGACTCCAGGGCTCACTCCAACTTTTGCTTCAGTATATTTTGGGACTCTATTTAAATAAGCACCAGGTCGTTTGGATAAAGGTCCCAAGACATAGTTGTAAGGCCACCTGTCCATTCCCTCTGGCAGGTGTTTCTCTCACTAGGTGCTGGCTTTTACTTCCTTTTCTATTTGGGTCGACTCTTGAAACAGTGACCCCAGAAGAGTTACTCAATCTGTTTGAAAGAATATAAAGTGCACATTTCCCCTACATGCTAATATTAGAAAAGGGGTTTATTTATATTGGAACGAACTCACTAGAAAAACCAACAATAACAAAAAAAAAAGTCATCGGGAGAAAGGCCAGTGAGGAAGAAGACTGAGGTCTGTAACAGGATGCTCTGTTCTCTAGGAATAGGTTTCTTTCCTTGCCTGGCGCGTTCAAATTTTCAAAGTTCTCTTACGCCATTTGTTCTTAGCTAGCTGATGCAAAATGCA